TGCGTCGGGCTCGGAGTCGTAGTCCTCTTCGTTTTAAAGAGTCACCGATCACCATCACATCTGACTACACGGCGGCTGTGGCCAAGGCTCGAGCGGCGTTTACGGAGGTGAGGAGGCTCCTTCGCAACCGACGTGATGTTCGCTATGGCCTGCTTTTCCCTGCACGGCTCCGCATCTCTCATGGGGAGGAAAACAAGGAATTCCTGGATGCCAATAAAGCAATGGACTATGTTAAAAAGAGGATCATCTCAGCGACGGACAACGAGGACCGGCGTTGATTGCAGGTCCAACCCTCATCGATCCATTATGACTGTCAGGTTGTAACGAACCTTCCAACTTTATGTCCCGCGTTATATCTTGATTTAATTTTAGACATTATTCTCAGGGACAACATTCCTCTTTTTGTTCTATGTATGAGAGTCTCACAGGGGGTCTGTCCGGATTTTGGTTAGTGATTTATTTATCAGTGCAGCAAGGAACATAAACAGTAATAATACTTTAAAGTAAGAGAACCCCTTTCTTTATTTTTTGTTTATTGTCATTTAGTTGTGGCGGGAGTCCAGACAGGGAGTTAAGCCCCCCAGTATAAGCACAAATGTGTGGATTTTTTGTTTGTTGGGTTCTCCATTTTTTAGGAGAAAGGGGTGGGACTATACCAGATCTATTTATTTTGAGAATGTCTTTTTCACGTTATTTTTTTGTGATGGTTTGTGTCTATTGTACTACAGCCAAATTGACCATACATGAGCAGTTCTAATATTACCAGCTTCTTCAACAGTCACCCAGTTAACTGTGTGAGTTGGAATGTGAAATCCCTCAATGGTCCAGTGAAATTCAGGAAAGTTATAACACATTTAAGACAACTTAATGCTAATATTACTTTTTTGCAGGAGACCCATTTGCGTAAGGCAGACAGTGCAAATCTAAGCAAGCGCTGGTCTAGTCAGGTTTTTCAGTCTAATTTCCAATCTAAATCGAGAGGGGTGGCCATCTTAGTTAGAAAACAGGTGCAATTTACGGCATCCAGTGTTAAAACGGACACTGCTGGACGTTATGTAATTGTGGTGGGAAAACTATATGCACATCCTGTCATTTTAGTCTCGTTATATGCTCCAAATTGGGATGATCAAACATTTTTAATAGGCTTTTTTCAAATTTACCTAAYATTTCAACACATAATCTCATAATTGCGGGAGATGTGAACTGTGTGCTATTGTCCCTCGATCGTAGTACAGTGGGGAGGATCTCTCTTTCTAAATCGGCCCAGTCAATTAATTCATTTCTTAATACCTATGGAGTGGTTGACATGTGGTGTTTTCGAAATCCGACCCTGAGACGATGTTCGTTTTTTTCCCCTGTTCATAAGAGCTATTCACGGATTGACTACTTTCTCCTCGATAAACAGATTTTACCTTTAGTGAATGAATGTGATTATGGAGCGATAGTCATTTCTGATCATAGTCCGCTCATAATGAAACTGAACGTTCCTGTTACGCAATCGGTCTATCGTCCTTGGCGACTTAATCCGATACTTTTATCTGAGGAAGACTTAGTTGATATGCTTGCTTCTGAAATTAAGTTTTTTTATTGATGTTGATCGGACTCCTGGGATGCCACTCAGCACTGTTTGGGAGTCATTAAAGGCTTACCTGAGAGGTCAAATAATCTCTTACTGTGCAAATAAAAAGAAAAAAAAACATAGAACAGCTAAAATTGCTGACAGATCAGATTCTACGATTAGACAGGGAATGCTGCCATGCTTTTACACAAGACTCACTTAAGAAACGTACATTACTCCAGAGTTTAACATCCTGCCCAACAGGCCGAATATTTAATATCCAAATCTAGGAATGGCTACTATGAGCATGGTGAGAGGGCTGGACGCCTTCTTGCACAGCAGCTACGGTGGCGCTCAGCTAAACAGGATATCTCAGCGATAAATGATAAGCATGGTGTAAGATGTTGTGAAAATGCAGGAATTAATCTGTGTTTCAGCAAATTTTACCAATCTCTGTATACCTCCGAAGCCTCATCTAACCCTACTGAATTGGATGATTTTTTTAAAGATATTAAAATCCCTCCACTAAGTTATGATCTATCTAACGAGTTAGAAAGAGATTTCTCTTTAGCTGAGATAAACTCTGCAATTAAAAACATGCAAAATGGAAAATCTCCAGGACCAGATGRTTTCCCGGCAGAATTCTTTAAGAAATTTTCGGATCTATTTTCTCCCCTGTTGTTATCAGTTTTTGAGGAATCCTTAGCTACACAATTATTGCCACTGTCTATGCGTCAGGCGGTAATTTCCTTGCTTTAAAAGAAGGATAAAGACCCCTTGAGCTGCAGTTCATATCGCCCAATATCGCTCTTAAATACTGATGTAAAAATTCTTACAAAGATGTTGGCAAAACGAGTCGAACAGATTATCCCCACAATTGTTGCACCTGACCAGACCGGTTTTATTAAACATCGTCAATCCTTCTTTAATATCAGGCGGTTGTTTAATGTGCTGTATACTTCTGCTCCGCCCGGTCACAACTGCAATGAAATTTTAATCTCGCTGGACGCCGAGAGAGCGTTTGACCGGGTGGAGTGGAACTATCTTTTTAAGACCTTGGAGATGTTTAACTTCGGACCTAAATTTGTTTCATGGGTGAAGCTAATATATACCTTGCCAATGGCAGCAGTACGCACTAACAATAATCCATCCAGCTATTTTGAATTGGAACGTGGTACGAGGCAGGGGTGCCCACTCTCGCCACTCTTATTCGCAATAGCGATTGAACCACTCGCAGTGGCTTTACGGAACAACCCTAAGATTAAAGGACTTAATCAGTTTGGCACTGAACAAAAAGTTTCCTCATACGCTGACAATACTCTTCTTTATATCTCAGATCACTTGTCTAGTGTTCCTGAGTTACTTCTTTTACTTCAAAAGTTCGGAAACATATCTGGGTATAAGGTTAACCTTCAAAAAAGTGAATTGATGCCTGTGACTCCAATAGAAGAGCAGCATATGGGTCCAGTTCCTTTCAAAATTAGCTCTACCAAATTTAAATACCTTGGTATTTGGATTACTCACAGTCACAAAGATCTTTATGCAGCAAACTTTCTGCCTCTCCTGGTGAACCTTAATAAGGACATCGCTACATGGCCTTCACTGCCTCTATCCTTGGGGGGTAGAATCAATGTGATTAAAATGACAATATTGCCCAAATTACTTTATTTCAGAGCGTGCCAGTG